TTGTGTTGGCAATCCTGGTCAGATGCCCCATGTAGCCTCTCCTCATTCCACCTTCTGACCTAAAAGCAATTTCCGCCCTTAGATCATCCCATACAGTAGTAAACAGCCCGATAACCTCAATTAGTCTTACTGGGTTTTATCATTCTCTTCCCAGGCCAGTAGAATTCTCTGAACGAGGCGGCAATGCTGAAACAACTTAAAAAAACAAATTGGGTGATCAACTGTCAAGAAAACAGCACCGAGTTTCCATCAGCATGTTAAAGTTACCTACATGAGTCACCAATAAATTATGTGCAGTACTGTCTTGGGTGCCTACGACCTCCGTCAAAACCTGCTCCTGCGACATGTCCTGAGGAGGCTTGACGTTGTCTTGGGAAAGGAGCCCTGGTTGAAGTCTCATTTCGTGAGCACAGGGCCTCAGGATGGCCGCCACGCAGAGCTCCACTTGGAGGTGCAGGAAGTTGTTCCACGTGTACTTGAAGAACGAGTTCTGAAAGTACGATGGGGTCCTTTTGGAACAACAGCGTACATTGAAAAGTGCGGGTTGGCCTCACCAAAAGCAGGTCCATTGTATTGAGTTGGCAGAGTTCCTGCGCTATGACTGCATGGCTGGCGGAGCTGGTGTAGAGCAGGGAGGCCACTAGTCTGGCTACGTGTAGCCGCGTGTTCCCCAAAGGTTCCTCCAGCACACCCAAAGTGGTCCGCATAGGATTTCGCTAGATGAGGTAAAGAGACCAAAGTAACTGTGCTGCTCTCATGAAGCCCTCCAAACCTGTTCATGAGTCTTATTTACATACTTTGGGAGGCTCGAGAAGTAGCTGGTGGAAATGAAGCAAGTGTGGCTGAATGGCCAAAAGGATGCTGCTGTTAATGTTGTAACTTCTCTCAAACCCCTGAGTGTCCATTACACCATCCACGCTGCCCATACCCCCCCAAAAAAACCACATACACAAATTGACAGGAGCTTCAAATGGAGAGCTTGGGCAATTTCACCAACAGAAAGACACAAAGGTTAATAAAAGCAAGAAAAGTTGGCAACTCACACAGGCCTCCTGATTTCCAGCAGAGTGAGGAGAACCTGAATCCCATTGACGATGCAGCTCTCAGTCCTGTCTCCGGAGAACATGTTCCGTAGCAGCTGCTCCACACACTCCTGCCTGCAGAACAGAGACATCCATCAACTTTGGGTGCATCCCGTCCGAAGAGCACGATTAGGAGAGTGTGTGTCGGTGTGTCGTACGATTCCAGCACGGTCAGCAACGGGTCAGGCTGGGACATCTCCTGAAGCTGATTGGCCTGGTCTCTGCTTAAACGAATGATGTCGCACAAAGTCTGAGAAGCATTGGACTGCCTCTTGACAGAAATAACACACACCGATGTGGACTTTCAGTATTGTGAATATCGAAGCTATAGAGTGCTGATAAAGTATTAAAGTGGTCCCTTGACATACAAGTGTAACTCAATGATTTTGTATTTGTATGTTTGACTGTTTGTCTCACTTACTTAATGACTGACAGACAGTGTATTGCCGACTGTGGCTCTCCTTTCCCACATGCAAGGATATTATATTAATTGGCTATATTTTTTTTCACAAGTCATTCAAGATGCAACATATCCGAAGTTTGCTTGTAACGTAATTAAAACTCGAATTGACCAAGGCGTGGCTTGAAAAACTTGCATGTTGGAGCACTTGGAAGTCAAGGTACCAATGTATTCAATTCAAACAGGGGTTCCAATAGAGTCGCTGCAAAATGACAAGAATGTGCATGTACCTCTTCATCCATCTCCGGATGAATGATTTCGACGAGTCTCTGGGCCAGCTTTTCTTCATTTAGCCACTGTAAACAATGAACAGAGAATATTATAGTGGAAAATGTGAGTGTGTTCAAAATTGTGTAAACTATGCATTCATTTGTCTCCTACAGCGAGAGTCTCTAGTCGAAGAGGGGGCGGCTCCACACAGCTGATAAGCCGAAGCAGGATATCCATCATGGCTGACGTGTCGATGTGCTTTAGAACCAAGGAGAGAAATCCCTCCTTCCGCCGCAGGAAACTAATCACCTGATCACAACAGAACAGAGACACCAACGTCACAAAGTCGTGCAAGTGTAAGTTGCAAAACACACGATACACTGCACGACCGGTACAGTGGACAATGACTGACATCTAAATTTGCGAGTGTTGCTTTTTTTCATTGACTAAAATTATGACTACGACTAAAAAAAAAAATCAAAAACTGAGTAGAACATCACCAGCACTAATTGCATTTAGTCGGCTCTAAGTTAAAATGTTGAAAAGGTAGTTTAAACCAGTACTAGTAGAATACATGAAGGTTTCAAGGATGGCAATTGAACATAGAACAGATTATTTATATCATTTACTATTGGGAAATTTATTCTGAATCATGAACAAATCTTAGGTAGCAGGTTCCACTGCACAGAACAGCAGGTTAGTCAATCTCTGTATACATAGAAAGCTGGGACGATTAGGTACTGTGAACCTTGGACAGATGGGAATGAATCATGTTTCATCTCTAATAGGTAATGCATGACTTGGTGGGTGCTACCTGCTCAGTTTTTCGCGCGATGAGGTTTCCAATGGTCTTGCTGAAGAAGGACGACAGTAATGGGTTCAAAGGGGAGGGTTGCTCCAGGAAGGCATAAAGGGTTTCCAGGAGAGGCTCCTCATTGCCCAGCTTGTCGTTGATCACGCCCACATCACTTGTCAACAACTCACATGCGATATTTGAATACCTGTGAATGAACAACACACACCTACTTGTAACATGGAAAGCGGAAACATGATTTGACTGAGTTGGGCAGAATTTGCCTATGTAACCATTACACTACTGGGAATGACACTGTGTTGCAACAGCAACGTATTAAGCTAAAATGGGAGGGCAGAGTTTCTCCGCACATGACTTGACAGCTAGACTGCTCAAGGTTCCAGAGCAGCTTTCAAGCGACATCAAAACACAATCATATAAAGACCATAAGGTACATAGAGCTGCACTGTTAACATATTAGCATTAGCTACCACTGACAACTATAGCATTTTTGGCCACATTTGAGGGGTTGCAGTACTTCAGTTGCTGGCAACATATTCAAAGCTCGCCCACGACTCAGATTGTCTCACAGCAATGACCAAGTGAACTGGTAACTCCTAAATTGAGGCACTTTTAAGTCAAGCTACTGTATTTTACTTCCATGGCACATACTTGAATCGCTTGGTTTCCTCGATCCCAGCAGGAGGCTCTGTAGTAATCTTGCGAACTAGTTCCTGCATACACTGGTCCTGGCACAGGAACAGGAGGAGTCTAACAGAAGTTACAAAGAAAAGTGAGTTGAGTCAGCGGGATGCCAACAATGGAGCCAACCGAGATGTCACAATAATGACCTTCGGTTCTGAGCCTTGCACTCCTGCAACACATCGTCCTCGTCCATGAGCTCAGCAAGCGTGACATCCTCCTTGTCCAGTAACGCCTCCAGGTGAGAAGCTGTGTGTAGGTCAAATTTCCAAAACATGGCTGGTGTCCGCAGTGATGTGTGCTCTTAGCTGTATGAAGAGAATTTGGCATTTTGATTGGTGCTATAAAAACAACTCTGCATACTTGTAGAAACTAATGATTGACGAACATTGATTGACCTTAGAGCTGACTCACTTTGAAAAATAATGAAATTTATTGATTTTTCTCCTTAATAATGTGATTTAATATGGTCGGCTATCTTAAATGTGAGGATTGCATTTTAATTTCTGGAGGTGTAAATTAGGGGCTTGGAAAAGAACTAGTTTTGTCTAATAATAACAGAAGTTATTGACATTCTTGATTATTACATCATCTTCACAGTGTCTAATAATAACAGAAGTTATTGACATTCTTGATCATTACATCGTCTTCACAGGCTAGTTATTTCTTTTCTGCGCGGACCATCAGTAGACTTCATCAGTTGCCTGTTGATTCAATATTGCTGCCATCAAGGATTATGGGTAAAAAATTTTTGTAAAGGTTGGTCCGAGCAACCTATGGCGTGATTTCTCTCCTGTAAAATATGTGTCTAGCTCCACCAATGTGAAGTCATCAGGAGAGACTGTAGTTTAAGAGTGTTAAGTATTGGCTGTTTCGTGATACAATGCTTGAGCAAAATATAAAAATGTTATAGTCCTTAATTGTAAAAAAAAAAAAAAATTGTTGGCAAAAGTCGCTAGAGCCGACTTGTTGAAAAAGAGCGTCACTCACCATGTAACGCACCCATGACACCCATGACAGAAAATTCTTAATTGCCATTGATTTAATACACTGCGCGTCAAGTTTGTTTTTCTTCCGTTGACAACACATTCCCCAGAGAGTTTCCACTAGCGACCGAAGCGTTCATCTCATACCGTGACAGTCAAGGAAAGATAAATGTTTTACATATTATATCCTGAAGCTATTTAAGAAGCGGTGCTATATGTGACGAGCTAGCTAGCTGACCTCCTCGGTCAGCCTCCTCGGGCTCTGCGTCACCAATTTCCACTTGACTTTCTTTAAAAATAGATATATGTGAATTTGTTTTTTTTATATGGCAAACGAGGCTTACCTTTCAGTCGGCATTGTCCTCGGTCATCATGTAAGATTGGGCTGTGAGGTCACCCGTAGCGGCCCATTGCGGGGCTCTTCTATTCCAATTGTGGCGTATGTTAGCTTCACGCTTGCAGTGTCCTCCGGTCACCATCCATTTGCCGTGTGCGCGCTAGTCTTGGAGACGCTGTGGACCGCACCGACACAGGCCGAAATTAACTTCAACGGGCGGGCGACGACGACCGGCGGTGTCACCGATCAAAATGGCGGAGAAGATAAAACGTAGTCCATAAATTCGGCTGTCCGTCAAGCCGTGCAACCATCAGCCTGGTGACATTTTGACGACGTGCAGGGGACGCTGTCAGCAGTTAGAGATAGTCAAGAGGACGTAAAATAACAACAACTACGGTGTCGCGTGATAAT